GTGAATGGGCAACTTCAATTCCAAAAATGTAACATAATGGACCTAGATCTTTCACTTCAAACTGTGTGGCCAAGAACCTTTTTAGTTTTTGTATCTCTGATGTCCAATCACCAATAATGACTATGTCATCTACATAGACTATCAAGGCAGCAGTTTTCCCTTGCTCCCTCTTCACAAAGAGAGTATGGTCAGCTTGACATTGTTTGAATCCCATTTGCTGGACAGCTTGATGAAATTTGCTGAATCAAGCCCTTGGAGACAATTTCAAGCCATACAAAGACTTCTTCAATTTGCACACCTTCTGTTCACTGCCTCTAGCACATAAACCAGGCGTCTAGACCATGTACACCTCTTCCTCCAAATCCCATTCAAAAAGGCACTCTTGATCTAACTGATGAAGTTCCTGGTCTAGATTTGCAACCAAAAAGAGTAGAACCCCGATAAAGTTCATCTTTGCAACTGGAGCAAAGTCTTTCCATAGTCTACTCCATACACTTGTGTAAATCCCTTTGCAACTAATCAAGCTTTATACCTCTCTACCATACCATCTGCCTTTTATTTTACAAAGAATACCCATAGGAGTGATATTTCCAGGACATTGGGTTAAAACATCAATATCCCTTTTGAGAAGAGGGATAACCAAGAAAAACACAAGTAATAGCTTTGGGATCAAATTTACCATGAGTAGGAGTCAGATTATGGGAAACAACCAAAGACAAACATGGGTATGGGAAACAGTGGTGCTTTAGGGAAGAGAAGTTGATGTGGAGCCTTATATTCCAATACCCGAGAAGGCATACAGTTTATAATGTAGGCAGCAGCCATAATGGCATTCATCCAAAACCTCTTTGGTACATGCATATGTAAAAGCATCCCCCTAGCAACTTCAAGGAGATGATGATTATTCCTCTTTGCAACCCTGTTCTATTGAGGGGTTTTCCACACGAACTTTGGTGGAAAGAACCACAAGCAAGAAATTCCGTAAGATCACCATGGTAATACTCCTTTGTATTATCAAACTGGAAAATTTGGATCTCAGTTTGAAACTGTGTAAAAGTCATGCACTAAAAATCACAAACAAGTTTAGGAACTTCTTCCCTGGAGTGCATAGGATAGACCTAGGTGTATCTGGAGAAGTCATCAATAAAGGTGATAAAATATTTGTAACCACTCTCAATTGGAATAGTAACGGGGCCCCAAACATCAGAATACACAACACAAAAAAGAAAATCAGCTTTTTTTATTATGTAATGAAAATGAAGTTCTGCAATGCTTACTCAACTGATAAGTTTGACATTGAAACTCATCAACAAGCACAAACTTAAACAACTCTAAAAACAAAAATTTTAAAGACTCAAAAGACATGACCTTAACGGTTGTGCCACAAAATAACTTTACTCTTATTTGTCTAACTCAAAGTCCTTGAAGCCACAAGACCAACTTTTCTCTAGCATGTAGAGATCATCAACCATGCTCCTTGTACCAATCATCTTCCCAAAGGCTAGACCCTGAAAAACACAAGAATGGGGAAGAAAGATTACAGAGCAATTTAAAGAATGGGCAATACTACAAATAGATAACAAATTAATAGGAAAATGTGGAACATGAAGTAACATTGGAGAGAGAAAGGCTTGGAGGAGGAGATATGGTTCCTTGACCAGCTATGGAGGAGAAGGACCCTTCAGCTAGTCTCACTTTATCTCTACCGAAGAGAAGAGTATAAGACCAATACAAATTGGACTTACCAGTCTTGGTTTGAAGCATCGGAATCGATGATCCGAGGAGATTCTGGAGCATCAGAGGACACATGGAAAGCAGAGGTTGTGTTACCTAATGTAGATGCGAAAGAAATTGAAGGGGTAGGTCCTGAATCTGTCTGTTGTAGTGACCTACCATATTGCTTTGGATGGTCACGAAAGATGGAATTGAGGATTTCTTCCTTGAGATCAGAACTAGTGGGATGATCTTGGGAGGCCTCTTGCAAGGCCAAGTTTGCTATGGTATGCTTCATTTGACTAGGCTTTCTCTTCTGTTCTTGTATTGACTTCTTCGCTAAGTCTTGTGCCCATTTTGGTTTCCCAACAGGTCTTTCAGGTATGCCTGGATTTCTGGCAATGTGTGCACCACAATTTGTCTTTATCATCTACCTTTTTTTTATCCCCTTCCTTTGCAGAGCTAGTGCCTCCCCATACTGCCAAAGCAACAGACTCCCCCTTAGAAGCATTCATAGCCAACCTCCTACTTTCCCCATACTAGACTAATGCATACACCTCTTGGATATAAGGAAAATCCTTATTGCCCAGGATTTGTACTGTGATGGGTTCTTATATGGGATTAAGGCCTAACAGAAAAGAAAACACACGTTGTGGAGAAACTAACTGCTTGTAGGCCTTGGCATCTTTGTCGCTTTCCCACTCAACATTTTGATAATAATCTAATTGCTTTCAAACTGAGGTTAATGCTGAATAATATGCAAATAAGCTTCTCTGTTTACATGTGGACGACTTTGCCTGCAGTTGATAGATGCTGGCATTATGTCTCTATTCTGAATATGTTGACTTTGCCTGTTCCCATATTTCCTGGGCTGTCTCTACCCACATAAAATTCTGCTTCACTGATGGTAGCATGAATATCAACAGCCATGACATAATCATGCAATTCTCTTGATCCCACATATCATGCTCATCCAGCCATCCCTGGCTTTGGTTCCTTCACTTTCCCATTGATGTACCTGGCATTTCCTCTAGCAGCTATATATAGTGACATCTCCATGGACTATGCTAAATAATTTTGGCCATCTAAAGGGGTGATAGTTATAGGAAAATTCATGGAATCATGATTGCTACTTAATCCACCATGATTGGAAGTAGTTCCAGACGTTGCAGATTCTTCAGAGGCCATAAGGGACAACTCCTGACATACTTTAACAGATCTGATTTCTTCAGTTGACACAAAGAACAGGCAAACAAAAACAACCGCAGTCTTGGAATCAGCGCTCTAAGCAATCAGATATACAGGAAACCCATGCATAATCAGTCCTGCTGTACTTGCAGCACATATACAGGTCATACAGACCTCTCACCAGTGCTTACTTAGGCCACACGGTTACGAAGGAGTTACCACAGTGTGATCTCCTAACACAATCAGGTCACTCATGACCTACAAGGGTACACACCCTACTTCGATCTGGATCCACTAAGGAGACTAAAACTCCTAGATGCCATTCAGCCACAATTGGACTGTCCTTGGTGTTTCTACCAAGAACCAAGTTTAAGGAACCACTTCACAGTCCAAAAAAGGCAAGATAGAACAGGGAAAACTGATTCAGCCTCCTTTGATCACTTCAGAGCAAGTGTTTACAGAAGTCTAAGGTGGATCGAATGAGTTACAGGTAAGATGAAAGGGAGAGAGCAAACGTAGGGTATTCAGGCCTGTGCGATTGCTGCCTCCCTTGGTTTCATTCCGGAAAAGGAAAAAAAAGAAGGGAAAACAGGTCACAATCAGCAATGGAGATTAGATTCCACCATCCTGCTCTATTGCCATCTTGTCTTGGTGCAGAAAAGTAAAATAAAGAAGATGGAAGAGAGGAGAGGAGATAAAAGTGATGAAGAGCCAAAAAGAATAGGCTGGCAGCGCCAGCTATATTATTTATATGTAGGGCGACCATTTCATAAGAGGTAAAAGACAGAAGTGCCCCTGAGGCACATAAACCAAAGATTACATCAAAGACAAATGATCATCAAGTGTTATGTGTCCCTTTCCTGAAATGGGAGCAAGCACTCCATCAACCATCAATAGTCACTTTATCACTGCTAGTGTATGACTAATATTAATGAAAAAAAATGAAGATATGTCACTCATATGATTAAAAGTTATAAATCAATAATATAGCGTGGACAAGAGGATAAAACAGAGGTAAGATTAATTGAACCAGAGGTTCTTGAGTGAGTAAATTAAGAAGTAGAGTTGGGATTGGAACTATTCTTGAGATGAGTAAGAAGGCAACTGAAGTGCTCCATCTTGGCATTGGCAGCAACACAAACATGGAGGAAAGTTCTATAGGGTTAAAGCAGAAAAAAAAATTATGTAGGTATAGATAGAGGCCGAATGGCTTGGAGCTCCTATTATGGAGGTAACAATGTTGGCAATGGTCCTTCCAACCCTTTTGAAACTTTGCTGGCTTCATGTGTGAACGACAATTCCAATATTTACCATAGTGTGTCTGAGATTTTTGGAATAATCTCATTTTAACTCATCTATATCATTAGAATGACTAGGCTTTCATCAGTAACAGTCAATAATCTCATTACTTTATTCACCATTGTGGTTGTGATTAGGTACATTTATGTTTTACCCTCACAAACAACAATAGCAAATAGGTAAATGAATCTCATCTGTAAATTAATAGTAGAAAGATGAGGACTGCCTGAAGAAATTTGAACCAGGGTTTGATAGTTGTGATGGATAAACAATGATAGTCACCTCTTTTTGTTGATAATAATCACCTCTTTTCTACTCTTTGTTTGGCTTGTCAACAGTAGTAGTAGTAGTAGCATCAATTGGGACATCAACTGTAACAATAGGAATAGATAAAGGAAGAGGGAAAGCAAAGACTTGATCTGATTGCTTCTCTCCCCTTGAAGAGAGATGACCACAAAAAATGGAGTAGACTCACAAAAGGCTTATCTTCATTTATAAAGCTTTTCCTCTTTATAGGATCAAAGCAACAATTACCCTTTTGGACAGGAGAGTAACTCAAGAAAATGTAGGATCAAAGCATTTCTTCCTTATAGGACCAAATTTGGACCTTGATGACTTAAATCATAAATGTACAAACACAACTGCATTTGATTGATCTGGCATGCTAAGTGAGCATAAGACCTGCTTTGTTATCCATCATGATCTGAAGAATAAGATTAAACACTTGTTTGGAAATAGGTTCATAAAATGCCTATTTTTAATCAGTTCTGATCACATTGTGTTGCATTCTGAATTTGCAGAATCCAGGAGCCTGCTTGTACACTAGAATGCAAACAATGCTTTCATGTGATGGCTCTCATCAGTATACCAAAAGACTTTGTCCTTGTGCATAGTATTCTTCCTTCACTGTAAGTTATTTACTATTCTTGGATTTGTTTTGTTTATGGATTATAAATTCAAAGTTTCAGTTACAGGTCATTTTGCTAAAACTGAAGCAAGTTATTTTTCTGATATTTACTCTGGATCAAAACCTCAGTATCTTTCCCTAAGACTTTTGCCTATATATTTTCCTTGAAGTTTTGCACTTAATAATAAAATCAACAAAACTACAAATGTAAATTAAAAATATCATAAAATAATAAAAACTACTAAGAGCTTCCATTCTGAAGGAAACCAAAGATCAAAGTAATAAAAATAATAAAAACTACTAAGATCTTCCATTCTGAAATTTCAAAATATATAAAAAATTGGATCTTAGATCCAAAATAGCTAAAATTTCTACTTCATTACCCTCCATAATTCCCAAATCAATTTAAAACTTCAACTGTAGACAAGAAAAAACTTCTAAAGACAGATCAATCCCCTTTGGAAGCCTCAACAAAACTTTTGGCACCAAAAAACCTTCACCCAGAGAGATTCTTGTCCTCTCGGGAGCAGGTAGAACCAAGAGAAGAGGCTGTTGCTCCTTCCTAAGAGCTCAGAAGTCAACAGAAATTAAACCGCCCCCTTTAGAAAACACCAAGGAATGCAATAAAACCTTAGTGCCTCTTCCTAGGTCAAAAACAAAGAGTACTGCAATCAGGATTCTTCCTCCATTTTTTCCTGATTTCAATGGTCAACCCAAGATCTGACACATAGGGTGTATCCGACAAATATATTCCATTCGCCTCATGGCCACTCCCAATTGTCCTCTGAGACTTAAGTCCTAAAAAACACAATGGGTAGAAAAGAAGGTTATGTTGCAACTCATAGTTAAACTACTATCAAATAAAAGATTTTTCTTAAGTTTGGGAACATGAAGAACAGAGGATAAAACAAGAGTTTGAGGCTCTGATGTCCCCCTTGCTTGAGATAGGGGCAAGGGATCCATCAGCAAGGGATATTTTTTCACGATCAAAAGTAGTTGATATGAACAAAATAGGTTAGATTGAATAGAAGAAAACTCTATGATGAACTCTCGAGATCTATCAACTCCTTGGCTCCCTAACATAGAAGCAAAAGGTGTGTGGTAGAAGACCAAGCATAAATATCCAAACTCTATTGTTATACTAATCTTATATTAATGATACAAACAAGTGTCACTGATATTATATTAATGGTACAAAATGCTATCAAATACAAACCAATCTATTGTTATACTGATATTATATTAATGGAAATATTTTATTATATTGGAAAAACATGTGTAGAGGGTAAATATGGAAATTAAAATCAGGGTCTTTTGACCAAAGCAAATAAACCATTCTTATTTTTATTAATGGTCATAGACAGAAATTCATTGAGTAGGTAATTAGACAATAACCATGAGTTAGGATCTCCTGCCAACAAAATACATTCTAACACCCTACCAACATGATCTTACACTGCATATCTCACCATTATATTGGGACCCACCATAAAAGTGGGACCCGCATATGTGTGGCATCAGATCATGTTGGTAGAGTTGGAATATGTTTTGTTGGCAGGAGATCCAAACTCAAAAAACACTCTTTCTTATAACATGTGTTGCTTCTTCTTCACCTCCTTCATGTTCATTGTCCAAATATCGTAGATATTTTGGAGAAGTACGGACAGGCCCAATGCAGATTTCTGGTTTCCACTACAGAGCTATAAACATTCAAAATGGCAACAATCCACACTCTATGCACCAACGCCCGCCCGTGAATTAGCATCAAGTCCAAGCTGGCACCTACCTAACAGTACTTTGTGCCTATAAATTCTGACCCTGGGCTGAACCGTCTTTCTCCGTAGATATTTGATGCATAACTGTTGAATTAATTGCTCAATTTCAATTCATCCGGAGGTTGATTGCCAAAGGACATCTTATTCATTACCTTTGCCCTGTGTAGGGCTTTTTTAACCATATCAAGCGGTTTATTGCCACCATATTGTTACAGCGGTAATAATAATTTGTATAATTTCAAAGACTAAAAGTAGAATATTATGGATCATGTTTTCTTATTCTGTTTTTCATCATTAGTTTGAGTGCTTATCAAACTTGCGCCGTTTGACTTGCGGGTTTCGGCCAGAATTTACTTCAATCACGTAAATAATATAATATCTATGATGTTTCAAGGGTTAACCAGAATAAACTCAATTTTCTCAGGTTGATATTGTTACTTTGCAGGAAATTCTAAAATAATACCGGTGGCATGAATCGTGGTGGCCAGTTCTGTACATTATAGGGTTTCTAATTAATAGTAACTTTACCATTTACAATAGCAATTCAATAAATGGCATTAGCTTTATTTTTTTAACCCCAAAATTTACTACCGGGGGAGAACGGCTACCTGTCAATTTTATTAATCAATATCGAAAGCTTATAAATGAATAAGAGGGGAGGACATCACTCGCATTGTCCCAAAACAAAACTCAATATCTCTAATTGACCACCCTGTTACAATTAGGTAAAAAACTTAAACATATACCCCGATTTTTGTGACTTTTTTACCTTTCATTTTCTTCTAAATTTTCAAAATATACCCTAAAATTTTCAAGCTCATATGAGCGTTGGACATATCATTAAAAAACGCGAAGTACAACAGGTCTCCACCCCCAACAATAGGATGAAAAAAAAAACACAAAAACAAAGAAACATAATAGTGCTCACAAAATTAGATAACAACTAAAATTTTGTTCATTCCTATATGTGAGTCCATTGTATCTCTAACTCCAATTTCTTCTTTTGAATATTCATGTATTATGGATTCCTAAAACCATGGAAATGGTCTCCAACTAGGACTTGAATGAACTTACTATTGGGTGTTAATAATTAATATCTTGCTCTATAAAATACGTATGTTTTGGTGGGACTTTAAGTTGGAAATTGAAAGTTGAAACAACTCCCTTTCTCTTTCAATCATTAAATTCAGAATATTGAATGGAATAAAATTCATAGAAGTATTGATTCCTATAAGGCTATAACCAAATATTTAATATTCACTTTTCAATTTCTCTCTCTCTCCTATTTTTTTCACCCTTATTTAGCATTCCATTTTTTTCATTGGTGGAGTGTATGTTTAAGTCCAACAGGGTTAGTCCACAAGGTATATTTAAGCCTTATTTTGAAAAACTTAAGATATGTTTAAGTCAATTTATTAAAACTCAGGGTATGTTTAAGTGTTTTACCCTTACAATTAAAACAAAATTAATCAAATCTAAGCACTGGTACCGAATCTGGTCTTCATAAAGAAAACTATGAATGCCATGAGGAAGCAATTAAGTATTAACAGCAAAGAGATAAATTATAAATCTATAATTTAAATGGGTCTCCTCTCCTCAGTGACCGTTTCTGCAAAAACACCAATTTAACAGGAAAGAGATGAATTATTGGTAAAGCATTTAAAGACCCAATAAGAAAGGTGATCCAGATTATCCTCGGAAATAAGTGACACTACACACATACACACGACAATGGAAGGAGTGTTCAACAATATGGTTGATTTTGTTTTTAAAGCAAAAACTGCCACAACAGCAAAAATAATAGGATAAAATACTTTAAATATACCCTGAGTTTTTATAAATTTACTTAAACAATACCAGGTTTTTTCAAATAGATTTAAATGTTCGTTGTGGGTTGACCCATTGGACTTAAGCATACCCTCTTTTAATAAAATGTTATTTGCTGTTTCATGGATCTATTTTAATATTTTAAAATCCTATTTTACCCTTTGACAAGAATATACCTCCATTCTTGCTTTTTTCTACAGCCGCAAGGTCTGCAACCGAACTTTGAATTTGATTTCTGCTTTTTAGTTGCATTGAATCCTGTGATATGCGATAACTGAGATGTGAAGGGTGTTGAGTTTCTAACTTTCTATTTGCTGTGATTTTGAAGATTTGGTTCATAAATCAGATCTTTTTAGGGAAGTTGTGATATGGGTTTGCATTAGCTATGATCGCCCCTTTTCAGTTGCATTGATTCACGGTTGTTCCGGTCATAGACATATATAGTATATATCTCCTAAAAACAATTAACTACCACAGTAATAAGGAAGCCAATTCCGGTCATAAAAGGAGTTTAAATCTGATTGTTGCAATTCCAGGAACAATTCTATGTAAAATCTTTCTAATTTCATCTTTCTCTCTGGTTTTGATTGAAAATTTGAAGAATACCTAGTGCTTAAAAAGTTTTTCAATTTGAAAAGAGTACAAATACAATTATGTACAGTACAAATAGATACAAAATGTCAGGTTCTGCACTCTATATATTTGTATTTGTACTCTTTCCAAACTGGGCCTTAGGTATATTTTGTTAGAGCAGTTCAAATGACACTGATCAGAATTGGGTGTATATATAATCACCTGCCCAAAAAATAACACATTATATTAACTCAAAATAGTGTGAAAGGACAATTATGTCCCTCACTGATAAAAGAAAATACAAATACAAACAAGAAAAAAAAAAAAAAGAGAAATTACAACAAGATAAAATATAAGCAGTTTTGATGACAACAGTAGAAAGAACCCAGGACAATCTAGCATTGGGGGAACATTCATGGATGAGAAAGGGGTTATTTCAGCTATGTTTTCAGGCCCTATAGGGGTAGGTGATTCCCTCAAGGCTGAGACTATTGCCGTTCTGGAAGAAATCCAAAGGGCAAAGGAGTTATTGGTTATAAGAAGACTTGTGGTTGAAGGTGACTCGGAGGTGGTAGTAGGATAGGTGGTAGTAGGATGGCTATAAGGCGGGGCTGTGCAATTTTAATAATGAAAAGAAAAATTACAAGTGGCTCACAAAGGATATGAAAATGAAGTACAATTGCTCCCTTACCCGGGGAGTTGAGAAAGTTTATCTCCCCTTCCTAAAAATAAATAAATTCAAGCAATTTGTCAGACCCAAATTAGTAGACCGAAAAAGCACTTTTTTTGATTGATAGTAATTAGTAATACATTACAATTACATCATCAGGCAAATATACTGAAAATTTATCAAAACTAGAAAACTCTTTCCGTTTACCTTCGATCGATAAGCATATTTATGTCACAATAAATTGAAATTTGACCTTTACCCACGCTTGCAGTCTTGCAGTCTTGCAGATCAGTGGAAAAAAGAAAATCCAATACCATCAGGAGGCAAGGAACAGAACAGAACGGCATTCAGAGAAAACCAAATCGAAGCGATCACTTCAGAGCTAGCTCCAACGTAATTCAGCCTTGTTGTCCTCTCCCAAATCAGTTGATAATCCAAATTCAGAAGCTGTAGTCTGTTTTGAAAACTCTCTTGCTCAAAAGTTTTGGATTTTGCCCGGAGTCTTGGGAACTTACTTCCTCATTCTCTGTCTCATCTTCTGTGGATTGAAAGGCAGGATGGGTGAGAATGCTATTGAGGAGTTGGGTCCCTCTAAGAGCGTTTGTCAGAGGAAGGTGACCCTCGGGTGTATCATCTTTCAATTCCCAAATGAACTCAGTAGGGAAAGATCTGTAGTTATACTGCTCAACCTCTGTGTCAAGCTTCTTCATCCAGCCAACCTTCAAGAAGAACTTGGTGAAGTCCTTGTTCACCTTCTCCCATATTCTCTTCTGAACGCTGTAACCATACTTGTTACCGCTATATTGCCGCCAGAGTCTGTCTATGATCTGGAGGTCAGGCTCCGAGATGAATTGGACTTCAGAGAAGAAAACATAACCACGTTTTTGAGCAGCTTCTCCGGCGAGGACAATAAGGAGACGTCGAGTCTCTTCGTCGGCTTGACGGAAATCATTCGAAGATAAAAATTGTTCGAGGAGGTCGTAGGAAAGTGTTGGTGAAGTTGGAGTAGCCGCGGTGGAGGTTGTAGAGAAGAGAGTGACGTGGGCGGTGGAGAGTTTGTGGGGGAAAGAGGGAGAGGGTGGATTGGTGGTTGTAGGTTTCAGGAAGAAACCGGAGAAGGTGGAGGGAGGGGTATCTGCTTTGTGGCGCCCGTGGAGACGGTAACGGTGGAGAGTCTGGAGGGAAGTGGTGGTGGCCATAGAGAGAGAGAGAGAGAGAGAGAGATTGTGTTGTGCTTGTGGTGGATGGAAGATAAGAAATGAATGAAGAGAGGGAATTTAGGAGGTCACAGAAACAGATAGACAGACGATTTTGATTGGTCAGGTGTGGGTGAGGCTGGATCCTGTCTCCTCTCTCACACGAGTCACGCCCTCGTACACACACCAACGCATATGCATGCATTTCTCCTTTTTTTTTAATTTAATGTTCCTTTACAAAAACACCTCTATAATTATAAATTTATAATTTTGTATGTTTGCTAAAACCTACCATTTTTTGCTCGCTCCTTACCCTATAGTTTGGGATTTGCATTTTACTAAAATACTTTCATAATTTACAATTGATTTATTTAATCGATGTAAATGAAAAATGACGGCTTTAAACCCTAAAATCTGTATCAACAAATTCAATTAAAAGGAAATTAAAACAGAACTATAAATCGTTCTTGTTCCTGTTGAGGTCGCTTAGATAGGGGTATTTTTTAAACTTTTTTCTCTTTCTTGTATTACTTTTGTAGTTGGCCCTCCAAGCATGGGCTTCCTTGTAATTATTATTTTGAAAGTATAAAGTTTTTTTGAGGGTGTGAACAGTAACTAGAACACACCTCTCGACACATCTCTTCTTCTTCTTCTCTCCTCTTGCTTTCTCTCTTTTCTAAACCCTAGTTTCATCTTTGGTTTGTCAACTTGGTATCAGAGCGGGTAAGGGAACTTGGAATACCTCTCCTGCTGATCCTCTCTCACGAGGTGAACTGCTAACGTCAGACCGTCGCTGGATTACATCAACAGTCCATACAGGTGTTGGCAGCAGTCAATGAAACTTACATGGTTTTGTTCGCTCTGATTTTAGAGGAATTTTGGTATGACTCTTGCCCTCATTCGAAGCTTCTATGATTTTTAGTGATTTTTTTAAGGGGAAAATCGCATAAATTTTAGATCTTATGTCGGGCCTTGTACATCATGTTTAATGGCTTCTTCTGCTGTAAAACCTAGACCATTTAGGTCGTTTTACTCTTGGGGAATGATAGAAAGTTGTCCCGTAATTTTCTAAGCCTTGTATAATTTTTTGGGAGTTTTTTTCTCTCCCTTTATTTTGTCGCCAATTTGGTTTTTTGGCCTCCTTTTGCATCTTAACTGTATGGTGACCTTGGTTCTTGGGTCTGTGGCTTTGGTTAAGTATTGGGGGTCTTTTTTTTGTTGGTGAAAAAGCGTCTTGATAGAATATGGAATCATCTAAGGATGTTCAGATGGTTTCTAGTGTGTTCCTGGGAAGTGCAGATATTGCTAGTGGGATGATAACTACAGTTAAACTTGATGGAACCAATTTTTTTGAGTGGTCTCAATCTACTAAATTTACCATTACTAGGAGAGGTAAATTGGGATTCATCACAAGAAAGGAGGTAAAGCCAAATCTTGAAGACCCAAAAATTGCAAAGTGGGAACAGGATAATTCCCTTGCGACGTCATGGTTGATTTGCTCAATGCAACCTCATATTGCCCGAAACTACATGTTTCTTCCAACGGCCAAGGATATTTGGGATAGAGTTGTTGCCACTTATTCCCAAGTTAATAATACAGCTAGAGTGTACCAGCTTCAGAGGGAAGCTTGTAGTATGTGTCAAGGGGAGAGATCTGTGGCTATGTAGTTTTGCTAGTGGGATGATAACTACAGTTAAACTTGATGGAACCAATTTTTTAGAGTGGTCTCAATCTGCTAAATTTACCATTACTAGGAGAGGTAAATTGGGATTCATCACAGGAAAGGAGGTGAAGCCAAATCTTGAAGACCCAAAAATTGCAAAGTGAGAACAGGATAACTCCCTTGCGACGTCATGGCTGATTTGCTCAATGCAACCTCATATTGCCCGAAACTACATGTTTCTTCCAACGGCCAAGGATATTTGGGATAGAGTTGTTGTCACTTATTCCCAAGTTAATAATACAGCTAGAGTGTACCAGCTTCGAAGGGAAGCTTGTAGTATGCGTCAAGGGGAAAGATCTGTGGCTATGTATTTCTGTTCTCTACAATCTATTTGAGAAGAAATAGATCACTTGAAAGCACTCGTATGGAAGAACCCTGAAGATGGTGAGCAATATCGGAAGTATATAGAAGATAATAGAGTCTTTGATTTCTTGGCTCGCTTAAATCCAGAGTTTGATTTTACCAGGCAACACATTCTTAGTGTTGGCGTTGTCTCTCTGGCTTCCGCTTACTCCCTTGTACAAGGGGAAGAAAGTCGAAGGACCACTATGATGCAACCTCCTATGATTGATCACTCTGCTTTTATGTCATCTCAACCCAAGCAAAAAACTAGCAAGCACCCTATTACTGAGAAGGCTGAGGATGTTATTTATGATTATTGCAAAAACCAAGACACACTAAGGAAAGGTGTTGGAAGCTAAATCCTCATTTAAAGCCGAAAAAGTACAAAACCAGGAAGAAGGGCAGCGTTCACTTGGCTATAGTTGGTAATGGTGCTCAACCTTCTGATGTGCTTGACTCCTCTGACGTAATGGACAAACTTAGGGATATATTGTTGCAGCTGGAAAATGGTGGTACATCCTCCTCATCTAGTTCTGAACCTAGTAATCCATCTAGTTCATATGCCAAAACAAGTACTGCACTTGCTTGTTCCACATCTTTAGCCCATGGATTGTAGACTCTAGGGCCAGTGCCCATATGACTAGTATACCCTCACATTTTACCTCATATAAGTTAACCCCAGGGAAGGGAAAGATTAATGTTGTTGATGGATCTTAGACCTCTATTTCGGGTCAGGGTGAAGTCAAACTCACTCATAACATTTCTCTTAGATCTGTTCTTCATGTGCCCCAGCTACATAAAAATTTGTTGTCTGTTAATTCTCTCATGAAATCCCATAATTGCTTAGTGACTTTTTTTCCTATCCATTGTGTTTTTCAAGACCTGAGCACAGGGAAGATGATTGGAAGTGGGCATGAAGTTGATGGAGTCTACCTCTTTGATGGACCTTCAGAGCATGGACTGTTAAGACAAACTGAATTTTGTTTAAATGAAAAAATGAGTCTTTTGAAATTATGGCATTGTCGTCTTTGGCATATGTCTTTCAATTCTGTAAAACTTTTGTTTCCAAACTTGTTTGACTCTGTGCCAAATTTGAATTTTGAATGTGAAGTTTGTCATTTGTCCAAACAATGTAAAGCCACATATTTTGCAAACAGTAAAAGAAGTAATGTTGCTTTCCATTTGATCCATACTGATGTTTGGGGCCCATATGCTATCCCTTGCATGGGTGGGTATAAATATTTCATCCTCTTCATTGATGACTACAATCGGTATACATGGCTCTACGTGATGAAAAATCGGGATGAAGTTCCTATGATTGTTCAAAATTTCATGAATATGGTAGAGATACAGTTTGAGAAAAGAGTGAAAATAATAAGATCTGACAATGCCAAAGAATACTTTGAACATCAGTTGCATAGATTTCTTAAGATCGAGGCATTATTCACCAAAGTTCATGTAGTCATACTCCACAACAAAATGGGGTGGTTGAAATGAAGAACAAGCATGTCGTTGAAGTTGCTCGCGGTCTACTGTCTTAAACTCATGTTCCCATTCGTTTTTGGGGTGATGCTGTTGAAACAGCTGTGTATCTTATTAACAGACTCTCGTCAGGGGTCCTAAACCTTCATTCTCATCAACTTCTCTTCCCTGATGAACCTCTTTTTATATCTACCCCTCAAGATCTTTAGTTGTGTTTGTTTTGTTCATGATATAAGTCCTTCTCGGCGTAAGTTTGATCCTAAATCAGTTAGATGTGTATTTCTTGGTTACTCTCCAGTCCAAAAATGCTATAGATGCTTTGATGCTTTATTTGGCAAGAGATATGTCTCTAAAGATGTTACCTTTATGGAGTCATCTTCCTTTTTTCAGCCATCACGTCCTTCTCTTCAGGGGGAGAATGCGAGTGAAGATCGGATTCCCTTTTGTCTTCCTGTTCCTCCCTCTCTTCCTTGTAACGGTGGTATTCCTTCTCCTCCTCCTCCTCCTCCAGTGTATCGACCTTGGTCCTGGCAACAGTTTTTCATTAGGTGCAATAAGAGGGTGGCTCTTGAAGTTGAACGCTCATCACAATCTGATTCCCTAGACTCAGGTAATCTTGAAGCTCCTGATAATCCTATTATTGATTCTGACATTGATCTTCATATTGCCATTCGAAAAGGGAAGAGGACATGTAGCAAGTATCCTATTACTAACTATGTGTCTTATGATGCTCTCTCACCTTCCTATTGTGCCTATATTTCTGCCATCTCTTCTGTTTCCATCCCTCGCAGTGTTACAGAGGCAATGCAGTCCCCACATTGGAAGGAAGCTATGAACCAAGAAATGAGGCCCTAATAAAGAATCAGACTTGGGTTCCTTGCCCAAAAGATAAGATTCATGTTGGGTGTAAGTGGGTTTATACTGTTAAGCACAAGGCAGATGGCTCAATTGAGAGGTACAAAGCTCGACTTGTAGCCAAAGGATACACTCAAACTTTTGGCATTGATTATCTAGAAACATTTGCTCCATTTGCTAAAATGAACTCTATACGTGTGATCCTGTCTCTTGCTGCCCATTACTCTTGGCCTTTATATCAAATGGATATAAAGAATGCCTTCCTTAATGGGGACTTACAAGAGGAAGTGTATATGGACTTACCACGTAGAGTAAGCTTTCCTAATAGTGATAGAAAAGTCTACCGCCTGAAGAAGTCCTTGTATGGTCTCAAATAGTCCCCAAGAGCTTGGTTTGACAAGTTCAAAAATGCTATCTTAAAGATTGGGTTTGCTCAATCTCAAGCTGACCACACCTTATTCATTAGAAGAGTTGATGGTAGAGTAACAGTGTTGATAGTATATGTTGATGACATTGTTGTGACAGTTGATGATATCACAGGTATCTCTCAATTAAAGTCCTTCCTCACTTCTGAATTTGAGATTAAGGACCTTGGTGATCTCCGATATTTTCTTGGCATTGAAATTGCAAGATCTAAGAAGGAAATTTTTCCGTCACAAAGGAAGTATGTACTTGATTTGCTTCATGAAGTTGGGAAATTAGGGTGTAAGCCTGCATAAACTCCAATGAATCCTAACCACAAGTTGAGTTCGAGTTCCACTGAAGGAGAAGTTCTTCCAAACAAGGGGATATATCAAAGATTGGTAGGTCGTCTTCTATCTCTCTGCTTGACTAAACCTGACATATTCTATGCTGTTGAAGTGGTTAGCCAATATATGCATGAACCCAGGACATCTCATATGTAGGCAGTTAACAAAATTTTAACCACCTGAAAGGATGCCCTAGTAAAGGGATGTTGTATTCCAACCACGGCCGTCTAAAGATTGAGGCTTATACAGATGTTGATTGGGCAGGGTCCATTGATGATAGAAGATCTACATTTGGTTATTGTGCCTTAGTGAGAGGCAATGTGATTTCGTGGAGAAGTAAGAAACAATTTGTGGTTGCTCGTTCTAGTGCTGAGGCAGAGTATAGGGCAATGGTTCATGGAGTGACTGAACTACTCTGGTTGAAGACCTTATTGACTGAGATGGGCATCCAAGCAGATATCCTAATGAGACTATATTGTAACAATCAAGCAGCTAGAAATATTGCCCACAATCCTGTCCAACATGATCGTACAAAGCATATTGAAGTGGATAGACACTTCGTTAGAGAAAAGGTTGCTAGCGGAGACAATTAAGGAGATATAGAGACAATTAAGGCTGCAATTAAGCCAAATTCTGGTTGGATTCAGTTGTTTTCAATGTGATAATTGAAATTCTAAATTTGATTTGAATCCAATTGAAGTGGTTTAAGCTTAGAAGTTGAGGAGAAAGGAAACAAACGGAGAAGGATCAAAATTTTGTCATGTATCGTATCAGAGCCTTCCCAATACACCCCTACAGGGGGTGTTTTGGGACGACGAGTGGTTCAAGGGGTAAACTATCCTTAAACCAACCCCTCTAAACCAGTTTCAAAAAAAAATAAAAAAAACATAAAAAATAGTACCAATACAGGTCAATACGCCCTACCGGTGTATCGCCTTGTATCGATATTTTGAACCTTGGTTTCAAGACCTTAGAAGACTCTTGAGAAAGGGAATAAAGGTTTATCAAAATTCCCCTTTTTCAAGTGAAGGTTTTCTATTTATAGACAAAAGGACCATGAATGCGTGCATGGGACAAGGGGTTCTAGAACATTAACCACATAAGGGTGGGGACCAACTATCAAGACTACTAGTTGTCATTGTCATTTTTACTTAACTATGATGTATTAGCCCCCAATATTCTGAGGAAATTTTGAACAAAACTATCCCAAAATTATTAAGGAATTTTCAAACAAAATTAACCCCCAATATTATAAGGAAATTAGCCCCAAAATTCCAAGGAATTCTCAACAAAATTTTGGGGACTTTGAGGGTGAAAATCAGAGTGATCCGTGAAGGCTAAAAAGATAACCTTTAGAGGAAAAATGCTCAGAAAAAATAGTGAGATTAGTCACTCGAGGACTCTACTCTAAGGGAGCCCCTAGGATATCCCTTGAGCATGCTTCAAGTATGTTTTGGCAGGAATTTTAAAATGTTATCACTATAGTTGGTATGCAAACAGTCAAGCAAGGCTTAACGGTCAAGCTATTAATGCCTTGTCGACACATGTGTCACATTATTTGATTTTTGGTGAGCTTTTTGGTGTTTTGATTAGGAGGGGTCAGCAGATGTATCCTTGATGTTTTTTTAGTGGGAAATTGTCTAAAACTCACCAAAACTTTTCAAAATGTCTAAAACTCACCATATCACTAATTTGACGTTAAACAGACTAACAGGTGTTAATATATTACCATTTTAACATTCATAGAAAAATATAAAGTATATACAAAATAAATTAATGGGTGTTAATATATTACCATTTTAATATTGAGACATAAAAAAAGGAAAAAGTTCAAAAAAATATTTTAAATATAAAATACATAAAAACATAGAAATTACAAAAAAAATATAAAAAATTATAGAAATTTCAAACAAAATAAAAAATTATTTTCAAATTATAGAAATTATAGAAATTGAAATACAAAATCAAAACATAAAAATTGTAGAAAAAACACCAAAATTTATAGAAAACACAGAAATTGCAAATAAATAAAAATACAGGAATATTTATAAATCGTAGAAAATAGAAAAATGTAAAAAAACAAAAATTATAAAAAATATTGGAAATTATAACAAAACACTAAAAATTCAAAAAAACAAGAAAATTGAAAACTGAAAAAGACCATTTTTCCTCTAACTCATCATTCAAGGGTAATTTGGTCATGAAAATTGTTATTTATGCTAACATGGACACCTTTATTAAGAAGCATGAACAGTGCACTAATGGAAGGTGAG